TAAAGATTGAACAATTCAGATAAATTGAAATGAATTCATTAAATTACTAGGAAAAATAAAATCTAAGTAATGATATTTTCAAATATTAATGATACGTTTAATTCATGACTAAAAATTATCTGTCACTAAAAATGGTTGTTCTGATATTAAATAGGAGATTTATAAGAGGCAAAGAAAGCATTTTTACTATTTATTTGTGAAACAGTCATTACATTTTCAAATTTATTAAAGGAAAATACATCAAAATAAGCTATCTAAGGTTAATGAAATCATATCTAAATTAAGTCAAGGCATGAAATAATAACCTCCTATACTGTTAAAGGGGAATTGAAATGCTAAAAATTAACTAAAGTAAAGTCCTTTCTCTAAAATATCAACGCATAATGTCATAGTATATCTTTTCTACTTGAGACAAGTGGATTCAATAAGTAAATTGAGGCCTCTTATTCTAAACTACATACTAAGATTTAGACTTAGAAGGATGATTAAAATAAAAAAGCATGAACTTTGATTTAGAAGTGCTATTGTAATATAGAAATACTCGAGAAGATTTATAATTAGAAGACAAAGTAGATATCTTAAATTAATGTCTATGATATTTGCCTAGAGATATAAAGCAGCTTGCATAATATAATCCTATATCCGAATGAAATCAATGCATAAGCAATCAAGAATTTTGATGTTATGCAAATAGATTACAAATTTTAGAGATAATTGTTCAGTTAAGATACAGAAACATATCAGAAGAATCTTAACTTAGAAAAAGTATTAAAATATTCTATATCTTGAAAGAAACTATGTGAAAATAGAATGGAAGTAATCTAACAAAAAAGTGTATGTTGTTGGTTAGTTCAATAATTGGGAAGAAAAAATTCAACTTATTTACTGTCCGCTTAGAAGCATTTTTGTTCGTTACATAGGTAGAATCAAGAAAGGGGAATATGAATTTAAATTTGTTGTTGATGGCTCATTCTAGCTGAGCAGTTAATATGAAACAATAGAAAGTGAAGACAGAAAAGGCTATGTTAATATTCTTGAAGTCAGATCTAATAATTGCTACCTTAAATCAAGGAAAAACTCTTCTCTAAGTATTTTTAGCTTTACCACAATATCCTCACAAAATGAAATTAACTATTAGTATGAGTTAGAGAATGAATTGGACAAAAAGCATCTTTACTCAGTTTATAAAATAAATTGACATTAAACCGAATCTTCTTTTGGAATACTTTCCAAGATAGCAATTTTAAATTATGAATGACAATACTTATTTTAAGCTTAACTTTTATTTCATTAAATAATTAATCTGTACCTAAATTCATTTAACTGTCCCTTATATATTCATGTAATGACTGTTGGTCTCTCTCTTCCAGTAAGTTGTTGAATCTATGAGGCAGATAAAGCTCTCTCAGCAATTGACTTTAAGGCTTCCTCGACAACTAGAGATGGATCATTGCTGTACTTTTCAAGATAAATTCTAATAGTTGCACCTGATGAGCCTGTTCCAGATAATCTGAAAACGAATCTTGAGCCATCTGCATATTTGAAAATATAACCTTGATTCAAGCTGACACTTTGGTCTACTGGGTCAGTGTAGCTAAAGTTAACAGCAGTATTTCCCTCACTTTCAGTCTCAAAGACACTCATTTATGATTCTAATTGCTTGAAAACCTTGTCTGCATCAGCATTCTCAAGATTCTCATAGTCGTATCTTTGATAGTAGTTTCTACCGTATTCATTCCAATGTGCTCTGACAATGTCTGCAACTGAGACTAATTGCTCAGTGCCTCTATTCTTATCTGCTAATATTGATAACCAACAAAGAACAGCCCACACTCCATCCTTTTCTCTAACATGGAAACTTCCTGTTCCGAAGCTTTCCTCTCCACAGAGACTAATCATATTATTGTCGAGGAGGTTTCCGAAGAATTTCCACCCAGTTGGGGTTTCATAAACTGGAATTCCAAGTTTTTCAGTAACTCTGTCAAGAGCTCCAGATGTGGGCATACTTCTAGCTGCTCCACTGATGCCACTCTTTAAGAATGGAATACTCTTGTAATTTGCTGTGATTATAGCAATGCTATCAGAGGGAGTAACAAAGAAGTTCTTTCCAAGAACCATGTTTCTATCAGCATCTCCATCACAAGCAGCTCCGAAATCAGGTGCATCTTCTTTATTATCGAATATTCCCATTGTCTTGACTAAGTCAGCAGCATAAGTGAGATTAGGATCTGGATGACCGTGTCCGAAATCTGGAAGGACATTACATCTGAATAAATTATCTTGTGGTACTCCCAAAACTTCTTGGAATAACAATTAAGCATAAGGTCCTGAGACTCCATGCATACCATCGAAGACCATTCTAAAATCTGGTCTTGAAACGAAAGCCTTTAAATCATCAAAGTCAAATAGAGTTTTCAAGAGATCGTAGTAAATATCGGTTGAACTGGCTACAGTTACTCTGAAATCATGATCGAATCCCTCAACTTTTCCAAGATTGTGATCTGCAATTGTGGCCAAATCAATATCATTTCCCAGGTGAGATATCCTGTATTATTGAATCTTTTTAGTATGCTCATAGATGAGATTGGTGAAGTTTTCAAGAGCTGGACCTCCACTCTTCGAATTGAATTTGATACCGAAATCTTCATCTTCTCCACCTGGGTTATGGCTTGCAGTCAATAGAACACCTCCTACACAATAATTTTCACCATTGTCGGCATTCAACTTTCTAATAAAGGCAGATGCAGCTGGAGTTGAGAGGAGACCATGTTGACCTACATATACATGGCCTACACCATTGGCAGCTGCTAGTCTAATAATAATTTAGGTAGCAACATCATTATAGAATCTTCCATCTCCAGCGATTACCAAAGCCTTTCCTTTGTATTCTTCCTCAGAAAGAGATAAGAATATAGATTAAACGAAATTTTCTAAGTAATTTTCTTATCTAAACACCTTGACCTTTTTTCTAAGTCCACTAGTGCCTGCCTTTTAGTCTTAATAGGCCTAAGTATCAACTATTGTAATCTTATGTGATTATGTAGATTCTACCATGAATTTAAGCAAAAGATATGAATTAATTTATTGACATAGATTCCTACATAATCTTATTGATTTCTAGCATGGGGTTTTGGGGTTTTGGGGTTTTGGGG